TGTCTCCCAGAGTGCATTGGTATGTTGCTAAGGAATGACAACTGTGTTACTCTGCTGAGCTTGTGAAAAAAATGGCTACATACAGGAAAGGAGATTAATTACTGTACCTTATTGATCCTAGTGGACTGAATTATTTCTGTTATGCGTGTTGTATTTATCTATTTTATTTTGAATAATGTTAAGATTTGTGTTTCAGATGTGAAACTACTGTAAAAATAATGTACATTATCTGACAAAGAAATGATAACATAGCACGCTAATACAAAATGGCTAATTCAAACTTGTATAAATGAAAAGTGAGAAAGATGTAAAAAGCATAATATATTCTGTACCTTGATATCTAAGTTACGTTTTTTTGTCGAGTGAAAAATTTCAAAGTTTTGCATTTGTGTGGCACATTCGTGAATGACATGAAAGTCACCACCCCACTCACTGAAATATAACAGATATTCATCAAGAAACAAAGAATATCCTATGCATATGTTGCCAGTCGTGTCACACATCTCTTGTTTTCAGTCAGAACTGCCACGTGAAACAATACCATATTTGTTGTTGGTGATGCATAAGCTTTAATACTATAGACGCGTGTACATTGACTACCAATTATCCAGCTATTGAAAGGTTCCAATGGACTTTTATTGAACACATTTCATTCATTAATTCAACAGCCTTGTCACAAGCAAAATGTCTATTATAGGATAACTATTGATATAAAGTTATGCAGCAACATTTTCCTCATCCTCAATACTCCAGGGATTACCATCACTTTTGCTCTATGCAACCCTGAAACATGTCATAGCGAAATTGAAAGCACAAGCAAAGTAACTTGATTGGTTCCAGTAGACAAAAACTAACCAATCACAGGTGGATATATTCCTTTTGAAGATAACAAAAGAGGGACATCCAACTGCAAAATCCATTACAATATACCATTATGCACCTCTAGATTCCTTTGATGTACATCAAAGCATCAAACTAGTCTTGTCGCCTTGTCCACAATGTGTTGCACATGGAACCTTCAATTTTGCCATGGCATGTTCCAGGGGTGCAGAGATCAAAAGTGAATGTAACCCCTAGAGAATCAAGGATTCACCTTCTTCCCAATCAATAAGTAATATGTCAGAATTCCCATAGGTCTCCAACAATAAACCCAGGGTGCCGACATATATAACAAAATTTTCACATGGCTGAAAAACAATGAACATAGACATGTGCTCAATACCAGACATGGGCTCATAACTGGATAAGTACAGTAATTTATTGGGTAATCTTTTTCAAACTTAAGCCAACAAATCTTACGAATATCATCTATGAATATTTTTTTTTAATTATATATCTCCTGCATATTTGATATTGACACACCTATTGAAATAGCTATTAATAAATTATCAATTAATCAGTCCGAACTTACCTGACGCAAAAAAAAATTAAAAGATGTAGTGATGGTTCATTTGTATATCAATGCTAAAGATGTAATGTCTTTTGAGGTAAAAAAATTTTGGGAGGATATTATTTCATTTTTCTATGAACAACAGATAAAATTTCAAAAGTCCATAATGATTAGACAGTATACAAAAGGCCATACTACAATGGAAGAAAACATTTGCCTTGATGATGTAAATATGTTTACAAATACCTTTGCACTATATCTAATACCTGGCTAGGATATACAAACATTACTTCTAATCTCCTTCAATGGTCACATGTTTTGATAAAGAGCTTTCCATGCTTTTAAGCTTAGAAATAGTCTGTCCGGACACTGTGATCATCCAGAAGGAATTTGCTTTGCGTGTTTACTAAGTACACTATATCTACAAATCTATATTCTATCATCTCTTTAATGGGTAACTTTAAGAATGCGCTTGGGTCACAAGCTATAAACGACGAAAAAAGATAATGATAAACAGCCTTTTACCAGCATATACATATCAACTTTTTATTGTATGATTTAGACCCAGAAAAATGTCCAATGAAATGTCCACCTCTGCCGCATTGTAAGTGAGAGTACCCTATAAAAGTTTTAGTCTATATAAACGTAACTGAATCAGTAGTGCTTATTTACAAAGCAAATTATATTCAATCTATTACTGCAGAACTTTTTATTAAATTGTCATGTTCTGAAAAGAAATGGAGACACAAAAGTGTTATGTGCAATGACTTCCATTGGGAGTGGGACCCATTTCAGCCCTAAACCCCCTCCCCCAAAAAAACATATGATGCCTTGACACAATGGAAGATGCGCAGCTAAACATCAGATATGAAGTCACAGTTCCACTAGCAATCTATTTAACATTCATAGGGAAGTAAAATAAATTTTTTTAAAAATATGATTTTTATACACAATCATCTACATACATGTAGGAAGTCCCATTACACACATCATTGGCAAATTTACATTATCCAGAATGTTTCCGAGTTGATAATTATGCAAATAAAGCTAATCATGAGTGGTATCTACTAACTCTTTTCATACGGTTGTCGACTATAGTTGACAAAAATATGAGCTCTCGCCTCATTGGCGTCTACAGTCGCCAAACTATGTTGATGTTACATAAACATCAATAATAGAAGCAGAAAATTGTTGTATTACTTGGAATCCAAAACATTGATTTTAACATATGCATACATCATATTCTAAGTCAGAACACTGGAATATTGTACTAACCAGGCAGGAGATTTCGCCCAAATATGGTGGGCGCCACTTTCTACGACAGAGTTAAGCACATCATGTCGCTTCTTCCACAAGGAAACCTCTGATTCTGATTGGTATAGATTGAAATAGATTTTGAAAAAAAAAAAAAAATGTAGAGACTAGAAACCAGTGTCTATGGTCTTGACTCGGGTGAGTTGATCCTACAACCTGATATTTCCCAACAAAAAAACCCGAACAGCACACATCGTCATCTGCTAACGTAAATAAGTGTGTTCTAACATTATATCATGTTATGCTTTAAGTTGTCCTATGGTTAACAGCATTACAACAAGACAGATTAATAAAAGGGAATGGGTAAAATCAGTCATTATAGTGTTTTATCAACATGTGTTTCTAACTTTATCCTATTTGTATTACTATGCTTCCTGACCTACTTCTATGGAGGAGTATCCAACTTCAGTATGGCAAGGATCGTCAACAGAAACATGTTTACTAAGAGTGATTTTAAACTGCTTTTTTAACAATACGAATGTACCATATAGTCTTCAGTACCTCTGACATAAATCTATATAAAAATATTAATTTTTCTTTTTCAAAATTTAAGTGAAAATATTGTATATTAGAGCTTTCAAGGTTTTAATTATTCCAGTATTCTCGATAGACTGTTATCATAACCTGAGGAGGTTGGGATCAGAGGTGGATGGTATGATGCTTCCTTCACATGGAAGTCTGTGTTTCTTGGAAAAGCTGAGAAAAACAACACAGTCGGTGTTTCAGATGCCAGGTAAGAGTGACCCCACCTCAAAATGACCCTGGCTATTCAATGAGCAATAAATCTGTCGGCAAACAAACTAGCAAAGAAATTGCTCTATGAATTCAAAATACAAATATGAAAGATCTAACTATATGAAATGAACTTGACTTCAGCCATCAAAAACTTGAGGCATCTAGAGTAGGGAAAACATATTGATGTAAACCATTACATTTCATTGTAATAGAGGTCACAGTTTATTTCAATGGCCTCCATCTGGATTCAAATCTGGAGATCTCGTGTTTACTAGTGTTATGTTCACTAGCTGATCCAGCTAAAGAAAACGTCTCTCTTGCCAAGCAGAATTTTACAACCCTGGTTACATCATTTTTACAACAGATCTATAGAAAGCATTAACATTTAAAACGAAAAAGATTACAGGATAGAAACAGATAGACCTAGATCTTATCTGGAGTTTTTGATCAAAGGCCTTGCATATTGCAAATCATGAATTTATATTAACCTCTAATGAAAACAGAAAGGGAGGTAACTAATTAATGCATTATGACTTCATCAGAGACAAACTAATGGAAATATGCCCATGCATGTCAAATCAATGTTCTGTAGAAAAACAATTCAATTATAATTTTAAGGTTAAATATGAACTAGTCCTCAAAGCATATTGCAGAATAATTAAGGTTCACACAACAAGAAAGGGAGCTAACCCAAATTCTTAACCTTTAAGCTGACATAGGAGTCAACTAAATCTAAAAATTCACAGCTAATTAAAATAAATTTCCTATTTCCATCAGACATGTCATAATTTATAAAATGAACATTCATAAATGAAGATAATGACATTTTTGGGGGAAAATATGTGAGCAAATACCAATTATTATCCCTAAATTTACATAATTTGTTTTTAAATAATTTTCATTTCAAAATAAGGAGTAACCACAGTTATGTAACTACAATGTAATTAATTTTAAAACTGTTACATAAGACAACATAGTTGAATAAAATTTTGAAAATATAAAATATTTATCCTGTACTGTACAACAATGTTGATTTCATTAGAACATTGTAGATCTCAATACAACAGTGTTATTTTCCCCACAACAGAAGGTCACTTGAATGAAAAGTTTATGTTGACGTTTGAAGACAATATGTGTCATTTATTTAGTATTAACAAAGAAAAAACTTGAAATCATTTCTCATTTTCTCACAGAATTCAACATTCAGTCTACATTTCACTCTCTCTCTTTAATTTTTTGTACATGTGCAGTACATAATACGCATATTAACTTTGACAAGTTGTACATATGTGCAAGGTACCTCTCTCACACGTTATATGCACCGGCTGATAATACTACCACCCCTCGAGTTTCGGACATACACACACATGTAAAGATTGTTGCGGCTGCTGTTAATTTCAAGCAATTAATTTACAATTAGTCAAATCCCCAAAGATGACAAAGGTTTACGACATTATGTGCTACTGTTCATCAAATAAGCCACTCGTAAGGGAGATAAACTCGAGATCTCTTTCACGCTTATATTTGCCGATGTCTGATAGAATGACAGCTCTTAGCCTACCTTTCAAATCGTCCCGACTATCATCGCTTCGGAATTCAGCCTGTTCATAGTTCCCGTCGACGATAAAATAGACGACTTTCGTCGCCATTATGACTGTTTCACACTATTCTGCTCTCACTTGATTCGATCCTGTTCCATTTAAAGTTATTATGGTGTACAAACTTCTGCTAAAATCCGACACACTTTTACCGCTGTACACATGTACGAAGTGATGTATATATATAATATACTTTCTATGTTGGAAAACACTGCTGTCTGCTAGAGAGACCCGTAGGGGGGAAACAGTTTCCTCTTTTCACATACTGTCGTTCACGTTTTTCTTAGTTCCAAAGAAACACAAGAAATCGACAAGAAAAAAATAAATGTGACAGAAAATAGCAATGTATAAAGTAATTACACAGCGCTATTGAATAGTTACCGATCCCAAGTGTGGTATTAAATTGCTAGTAAACGTTCGGAATCGAAACACGACACAAGTAGGTCACGTGACATGTGTAGCGCGATGTCACACTAAGGTGAACTTTCGATCAATTAATCTGTGTGATAAATTGCGGCCAGGTGTTTTTCTTTATCGATCATTATCGTATATTTATATGTAATTGGCGTGTGTTAAGAAGAGTTTGTTAGACTGGTGATAGTTACATGGAAATCTGAAGTAACCAGCTAGCGACTAAATCAATATTAGCATATTACGTTTACACTCGGGAGTAATTACAATTGTGAAGTAGTCACATTTCCGATATTTAGAAACCGATACATATAATGAATTCTAGTGATAATTATTATGTTGTAGTAATTTTGGAAAAGTAAACATCGCATCGCCATAGAAAGTTACTTATGTCGAGTGATATCTGATTGTGTACTATATACAATGTGTGTTGTTATTGAAATGAAATTAAAAGTTCGAAATCTACAAATATGCTGCAAAAAACCCAGTTTTTGACAGTTGCTTGTGTTGTATTGCGTTTGCACAAAATCAAAAAGTACTTGAACAAATTTTTTGTTCAAAAAAGAAAGAAACTGATGGTTGTAATTTATGTTATCTTCATAACAATTTTTCATCGGAAAACAAAATAATGCATATTTTTTTGTGATCCTGACTTTAAAAATCGACAACTTTTCTAGATTTCGCACCGATGAGACAAAATAATTTTGTTGTAAGAAAGTCTGTATGTTTTGCTCGCAGCAGGTGCTTGACTTTTGTTAAAAAAAACTATTATTAATATATTCAGTGATGGCGTGGTACTTATGTAGGGTTATTTTTTCGTGGCGTCGGAAGAAAAATAAAACAAAACATAAAATTTCAATGTGGCTTAGAGCCCTGTTCTCCGTCAAGAAAGACTTCTAGCTATTTTGCTATTACCAAATAGGACAATTTCCCCATTTTCAGAACTGATAACTTGAAAACATACAAGAGAAATTATGTGACTTTCATCGAAACTTCTTCAACACTGCTGCTCAGTTATGCTTTAATATATTTCCAGATACTTTTGATAAGAAGTGATTGATATTTATCATATATTTTTGAATACTCCTATATTTATTCTCACCAGGAATTGAAAAGGACGGGAAATACATGTTAGCTTTATAATACAAATTTATGTCTCCAGTCTATATATAAAAAAATATCCTTGGTCTTATCCGTCGGTCACATTTCGTCGCCAATCACTTTGGTCTACGGTTAGATACTCTTAACTCTCGCACATGTTCATATTCACCAATATTAAACGTTGAAGTGTTTGTTTACCTATACGTGGAATATAAAAACGAATTAAAGGTACAAACAACATGAGAGGCTAGGTAAATATCCCTTATATTGAACGCGACCCTCGTCTGGCCATCGACAAATATTTATATATTTGTTGATATAAACAAAGTCATTTCACTCTAGTTTAAAGTGTTTCTGTTCAAATCAATAAAGTCAATGTACCCATTGAAATATAAGGCGTTAAACTTTAATGTGTAAAATCACGTGTTATTGTCATGAACACAACTTTCGAGTCTATCACATCCGCAAGGTATATTAGTTTATTGGGGTATTAAGTCGAAATTTGTAAGCATGACAATTTTTATACCCCTGCTTACATTATCAAATGAAGTGTGTAAAAGGATACACTAGAGCATACTTCGACTCAAATATACAACTGAAAAGGCATTTTCTGAATTGAAGTGAAGGAACCAATCACTCCTGTGTGATGTAGACAGAAAAAACTTTCACACTTGACAGAAATGTATTCACGTATTCCGACACTAGACAAGTCTTGCTATCATAATTATCCATGTACTAATTTATCAATGTACACGTACATGTGCGTTTTAAATTTCTGTTTTACGGTACTTTCGTCTCGTTCAACTAGACTCTTGGTGTCTGTAAACGTAGCGAGAAGTGATCAAGCTTCTAGATGTACGGGATTAATCTATCAGATCCAATTACATGGACAACATCGCGAATTTCCAGACGATAGAAAAATGGCGGAACGCGTAAAGATATTCACACGTTTCGTCAATAATATGAAAGCAACATTATTTGGTGTGTGGACGTGGGGAGATTAAGGGAAAGGAATTTTTTGTACACAGCAAACGTGTTTTTAATAATGTTCACGCCATTGCATGTGTCATTGGAGATGAAGCGATATACATACATATCAAGTCCCCGACTTTATTATGATGTTTGTCACAGAACTTTCAGTATACGATTTCATCAAGAATGAGAAAGTTGCTATGTTACACAGGAGTGAGAGATTCAATGAACAGCTTACTTAGAAATCAGATTCCTTGAGAGAGATATCTTCGATTGACAATAATCAAATGCGATTGCTTTTGGGTTTTAATAATTAAACATAATAAGAACAGATATGGTTACTTAAGGATGAACTTCCTGTGTGAGGTAAGTACACGTATTTAGTTCATGCGCGTGTCTATGAGAGGCCGTGATGTTATGTAAGTTCATTTAATCGGTGTCGACTATATAGTGCTGCCTCACTGAAGTATACTGTTGGAGGTACTACCAGGACATCCCTTCCGGTCACCGTTTGTTATTCTGATCTCCCAGAGTTACTTCCCTTCGTTTTCACTCTATCAGTAGGTATAGCGATAATTTTTTCGATAGGGGACGAGAATGCCATTTGCAAGCAAGAGGCAAACTCTAGTCATTAACATACAATTTCTACGCCTAGTTACAAGGATTGTCTATGACTACACCAATAGGCGTGTTCTTGATTCCCCGGAGTCTATTAACACACAACTCTTTATGAAACATTTTAATTAAGGTTTCGTCTTGTCACCGTTATCAAGCAAGTGGTTATTGACGCAAGCACCAACGACAAACTATGGTAAACCTCACAGATTTTGTAGGTCACCTTTTCTGTTGCACACCTTTCCTAAGTGTACAGCTTCAACGCAGGTTTTTTTGTCATTACGATATGTGGTTTAAATCATATCCTGTTTTATATTTTAGTGATGACAGAAAATGAACACAATGAATTTTTTTTTAAAAATTGAGTTATTGTAAAAAGAGAAGGAAAATGTCATGTCCGGATTTGCAGAAATGAATACCACAAACTTAGACAAATTAAAGGCACGTTCAGTTTATATAATACAACATAAGATATGTTGTCAAACTGAAAAACCACTAGAGCTCAATGTGGCAGATTTCTGATTTTTATTTCTCTCAAGCCACACTAACATGTTACAAGAGGTGATATTTTACAAAACAATGTGAATGGCTGTCAGGGTGGTGGAGTTATGATACAATGGTATATGTTAAACACAACTTATAAAGAATTAATTATAAATCATAAACATCGTTAATTATAATTGCTATCCCTCATATGAATACAATGCAAACACTTAGTATATTCTCATGAAAGTTTTCGGATTCACTTTCAACTTGATGACATTCAATAGGGAACCATTTCTAAAGGTTCCGCCGTTATGGACAGACTCCATTGATTCCAAAGTAATGGAGCGGGCACTTTGTGGTTGATATTCAAGTCAAGTTTCATCCCTCCACTATGACTTGTTACAAAGTAATGAAGCGGGCACTTTGTGGTTGATATTCAAGTCAAGTTTCATCCCTCCACTTTGACTGGTTACAAAGTAATGAAGCGGACACATTGTGGTTGATAATCATGTCAAATTTCATCCCTCCAATATAACTATTGCACCGTACGAGATAGGATTCGCCTATTTGGTATGTGTGTTCCTTGGGACACGAAGTTTCACCGGTACCAAAAGTTTTGGCAATGTAACATTAAAAAAATAATAATTACCACAGTGTTTCCCAATGGCCCACTTCATAATTTTGTTAAAAAAACCTATCTTATTTCTTTTTTTTTCAAGTATATGTATTCGGATAAACGAACTGCAAATTTTCCCATTTTTATGAGAATTGAACACAATTTTTAGATCAGTTTTATTTGATTGGATTTATAAACAGGAAATCCGATTCTAGAGGGGTCGGAACCTGTCGCCCATCATCGTGTTATCTTTATTTGTTCTTCAAAATTGGATCTTTTCCCTTTTTTTCTCTTCTTTCCTTTGCTTTTCCTTTTAATTATATAATTTGAATGTTTTTCAGAAATAAAATAATGATCATTAACTGCCAAATCCCACATGGTCCCCTGTTCGACAATTTGTTTTCTGATCTACCCGAAAGTCAGAAGGAAAAACCTAGGGACCAACAGAAAGCTAAATGCGATATTTTTAGAAGAATCTATCCGGGCGAAATAAACGCTGTACTAAAACGTGTGAGGGACATATTATTTTTTTCTACCAACTTAAAGAACCTTACCTTTCCAAGTTTAGCATGAAGCACCCACATCCTCGTGATAGTGTGAACAACATTTGTTCTTGCACAACAACAACGTTAAATCGTACCATCGCGGACTGGAAGATGAAACTATTGACCTCGCTTTTGTGAAAGTAGCTAATTCTTAAGGGGTCAAATGAAGACTACCAAATACGTCCAAATGGAAACATTAAGTTTTTTTGGTCTAACATTAAACAAATAAACAAACAATAAAAAAATGAACATAGGTATATACATTTGTCTGCCGCCAACCCATTGCAACAGTATGTAGGTGATTAAGACGCCATTCTATTAATCTTTCGACCGGATTGG